AAATAAAAAAATCACCAAAAATTAATGAAGACTCAGAACAAAACCAAATTAAGTTTGCACATGTTTCACAAGGTGCACTATGGAATCCAAGCATTTAAAACAGGTTTCAAACATTTTAAGACACTTTTAAATGAGCAAAAAGGGACATCGTTAAGTGAAATTCCCCCACAGAGAACATCGTTAAACGATGGGGGAAATTCCTCAAAAAAACCCATCGCTGTGTGAATTCATCGTTGTATGAAGCAATCGTTGTGCGAGGCACCACTGTATAAATAGTGGCCAGAAACCTGTTGGAATTGTGCAATGTAAGCTGACGATTGTGCAAGCAGTGTGCATGATCATGCTGTCTGCCTCACATGCACTCAGAGGTGCCTGGGTCACACAACCACCCTGCCAGCCAAATGCAAAAATGATGTGTGTGGTTGCCCATATATGGTATTTCAGTGTAAGATTTTAACCATTATAAATAATCAAGAGAATGACAAAAGTTATATACTGTGACGTTCACCTCCTTGAAGCATCTACCTTTTGTGCTCTCACAAAGGCTCCCGTTGTGTTTTCCTTTCACTGCCACTAGTGGATTCTCTGAATCCACAACAATAAATGACTTTTGATCAGACACTTGTATTGTGAATGCAAACAAAACTTATTTATAAAGTGAATCCAATGACTGAATTTATCAGCAGCCTGGAAAGGAACGTGATGGCAGGCCCATGTATAGAACTTGCTTAAATTAAAATTCAGGCTTCCTGTAGAGAGGAAGAAGGAGAACAACATGTACTTGTTCCAACTCTTAGCATAGTGTACCTGGGGGAAGAAAAAATACAGTATTTGAGTCAGCATGAATCGATGAAGAACAAAATCAGAGAAGTCTGAAACCTACACCATTGACCTAAAACTGCAGCTCCCAGTTTGGAACATAGTTTAAACACAGAAGCCTGGCCCACACATTTTGGATTTTTGTAATTTGTATGTTTCTTGTGCATGACCCCAGTTTGAGAAAGAACCATGGCAGGTCCCCCAAGTGATGCCCTCCAGAGAATTTGGGCTATACCTCTCTCGTGATTCGCCATGTTGTCTGGGTTGATGGGAACTGTCATTCAAAGTATCTAAGGCTTTGATTATAGAAAAAATGTATTTTGATGTCATTTGGTCACAGAGAGCATGCTTCATGGGGGATTATCTATCTATGGGGCTCATGTTTACAGGGGAGGCTACATTGAGGGCTGGTGATGACTATTCTGGGTTTCTCATTCTATAATGGCATCATGAAAACTGATATCAGTTTAGAAATTGCATACTTGGCTTAGCCTTGGCATTTTGGTGAGACTTACCTGGGTGAAAGTTAGCATGGGCATCCAAGCTGAGTTTCATTATCAGCCTCTTGTCGTCTCACATATTCTGTTTTCTGCCAATCAGTGAAAATGGCTAGAATATCTCTGACGTGCTGAATGCTTGTTTATCTTTTTTTGACCTGCTTTTCACCCTTGGGTTTGTTACATTCCCAGTTAAAATCCCAGGGCAAGGGAGGTGGTGATGAAGACTTGATCATGTTGGATATCTACGCTATTGAAGAACTTCGCTCTAGGGGATTGGAGCCAACAGACGACTCCCTTAAGTACAACTACTCATCAGATCCCCGTGGCACCTATAGTAGGTTCCAAGCATAGGCTCTAATGCCGTGTATTCTCAGTCTCTCTCTGCTGGCAGGATGCTTGCCTTGTAGACCATGGGAAAAGAATGACTTCAACATGTCAAATGTATTGTACTTTATTTCCTTAACAGTGCAAAAACTTCTGGTGCTTTATTGTGGTCTCTGTGAATCACACATTGGATTATTTTGTGCTTGTGCAACAATCTTTGGAAACTTCTTGAGCTTTGCAAGAGTAAGAAATTCTGTCCTCTTGACTAGGCATACTCCACAGCTGCCCTCCCTCGGTTCTCTCTTTTCTGCTGCTGAGGTAAAATCAGGGAAGCTTCTGGTGCACTCCTTCTCTTTATCAATAGTGATACCTTCACTTACATTTTAGATATAGTTCTCTTCTGTGCTTTCTTTTCTGTTTTTTAAAAAAACATAGTTGGTTAGTTTTGTTAGCAGTCATGGTTTTGTGGTTGCTTGTTCATGGCCCCCATGGATCCATTGAAGTGCTGCAAGGCTGCTCCAACAGAATCCCTCTCTCAGACTGACACTTGTTGTGCCTCTGCTGTTTAGGACACAGCCATAAACCGCAGTCTCTGCCTATTTGCAAGAACTTTACCAAAGCTGCCGTACGCAATCAGCAGTCTAGACTGAAGTGGTTCCCTTTGCAGAAATCTTTGAGACTCACTTGCAGAACAGTCCACTGACTTTGTTTCTCAGGTCTCAATTTGTAACACCCACGCCAAACAGCTCCTAATGGATGCTCTGCAACAGTTAGAGCCACAGACACAAGAGTCCCAAGTTCCAGCAAGCTGGTCTCGCCTAGAAAAGCCAATATCAACCAGTCAGTTCTGAATGCATCCACAGCTTCTGTGTCAAAGTCATTGATTTTGATTGTGGGGAAGAAACAGAAGCCTCTGGAGATGGACTCCTCTAAGGCAAAGAAAGCAAAGAAGGATAGGTCAATGTCAGATAAAGTAGCAATATGGTTGTCTACTCCACCTCAGTCACAGATTGACACCTGATTTGCCTCAGCTCCATCTCCAATATTAACATCCCATCTTCACCAATTCCCCAGAATCGTCACCAGTAGGTTTCCAAATCCTAGACTAGTAACCTCAAGATTTACCTGTCAGTGATCGTGGCTCAGTAATCTCTGGGATCGCAGGTGGCATCTCGTTTCAGAAACCCCACTGTTATGAACTTTCTGAAGGTTGTAGCTAATCCCTACCCAGATTTATGGCCCCACCACCAGCAGTGGTTGTTCTCTGTGGCTCTCCATCAGCTTGTAAGGCCTCACTTTGAGCCACTGGCAAGAGCAGACCTTCGCCTCTAACACTCAGTGTAGTGTTCCTAGTAGCTATTACTTCAGTGAGAAGGGCTAGTAAATTGTAACGTTCATCATAATCTGCCCTTCTTATATTTCTTAATCATTGTTCCTGGGCATGTCCTTCTTGGCTAAAGTCTTCTCATATTCCCATATTAACCCAACACTGATTGTCTACTTTAGTCTGTTTGCCCTCATTGGACCTTGAGAGGGCTCTACACTCTCTGGAAGTACTAAGGGCTATAGAATTTCATGTTTCTGAGACTAAACAATTTTGGCACACAAACTATTTGCATGGAATAGTGGGGACCATTATGCTGGTATACCAGCTAGTTGGCCAGCCAACTGAAGCTGTTCCTGTACAAGAGCACTAAGTGCCTCCATGGCATTCCCGAGAGTTTTCACATACCTGACATTTGCAGAGTAGCCACATGGCCTCAACCTCTCAGTTTGTGAGACATTACAGGCTGTATGTCAAAGCCAAGTTGGATGCCTCTTTTGCTAGAGCTGTGCTGTCATCCCTTATTATGTGACTATCACCACCACCACTGTGTGTAAGCGGGGTTTTCGTCACTCAATGTATGATTTACAGGGATCACACAAAAAAAAAGATAGGTTGCTTACACATAACTGTAGCTCTTTGATTTGTCATCTGTGAATTAACACACTCCCTTCCATCTCCCTTTTCTCCATCACATGCACAGTTTTTAGTACCCGATGGTGGGGAACTGAGAGAAGCCAGATGTGGAGCATGCCTAGTCAGGAAAGAGGATAGAGTTTCTTGGTACTGTAAAGCTCTAGAAATTACTGAAGTTCATTGGACAAGCACAGAATAATCCAATATGTTAATTTACAGATCTCAAATGTGTTTGTTTGTTTGCTGCCTTTCTCCTGAAGCACCCAAGGCAGCTTAAGAGTATTAAAAGTATAAACTTAAAAGTCAAGTAATAAATTATTACAATATTTTAAAAGCATTAAATGAATATATTTTAAAAAATGACAGAAACAACATTAAAAACATAAGTAAAACGTAGTACGTTCCCTTTAAAAAATCCCCTTGGTCAACCAGTCATTTAAAAGAATGCCTGAAACTAAGAAGAAGAACTGGAAAGCTTAGTTTAGGAAGGTAAATACAACTTGATAGAGGTACAATGGTGCCTCGCATAGCGAGGTTAATCCGTTCCGGATTAACCGTCGCTATGGCGAAACATCGCTGTACGAAACGGGGAAAGCCATTGGAATGCATTAAACTTAGTTTAATGCGTTCCAATAGGCTCCAAAACTCACCGTTCAGCGAAGTTGTTCCATAGCCGGCAACCATTTTCGCACCCTCGGTAAGCGAGGGGAGGGCGCGAAAACGCTGCACGCGGCCATTTCGGGGCTTCCGGGAGCCATTTTGGAGCCGAACAGCTGATCCGCGGCATCGCTTTGTGAAGATCGGAAAGCGAAACACTTACCGATCGTCGCAAAGCTATTTTTGCCCATAGGGGCCATCGGTTTGCATTTGCGATCGCAAAAACTTAATCGCTATGCGATTTCGTTGTTATACGGTGCGCTCGTTAAGCGAGGCACCACTGTAATTGAAACTTGGTGGGATGATTCCTATGACTGGAATGCAGCAACTGAAGGATATAAAGTATTCAAAATAATGAGGTTGGCCTCTGTGGCCTTACAGGCCCCTTCCTGCTCCATTCTATGATTCCATGGTAGATGACCACTTGAAGAACTACAATTACAGTTAAGTAACCAGTCATTTTTTGATAATTAGATTCAGGTTAATTATTCAGGTTAAGAGATCTTGTTTTAGAGGGTTTTCCCCCAAACATTTAACTTTATCTCATTTAGGAAGTAGCTCAGTGGTATACTGTGACTTTTGCATGCAGAAGGGGCCGGGTTCAATCTATGGTACTTCAAGTGTAAGAATGAGAAACCCTGGAATCATTCACTAATAGTGTAGACAACACAGTAGGAACCCTGTATTTGCAGGGGATCAGTTCCAAGCCCCCCACAAATAATAAAAACTGGATAATAGTGAGCCATATATATAATATAGTCTGTTGGACCCAGGACTCTTTACCTGTAATTTTTATCTTCATGGGGCCCCTATGAGTAAGAGTTAAGTTGAAAGTCTTCCCTGATTCATTAATGTGCCAAAGACAACTCTCTCACACTCACACATACACATACACACACACACACACATGCAAAATCACAATCTCAATGGCTATGCAGAGAAACGGGGTATCTATATTTGTATGGTGAGTGTTGTGTATATTTTTAACTTTTTTTTGNNNTTTATTTATTTATTTATTTATTTATTTATTTATTTATTTATTTATTTATTTATTTGATTTCTATCCCGCCCATCTGGTCTAAAAGACCACTCTAGGCGGCTGAATGCATTTTCTTGTTTGCCCAGGCTGAGGAGGCCAGGAAGGGTCAGAGGTGGGAAAGCTTGGCTTAGGTTAGCCTTGCCAGCTGCCCCAGCTCTTAACGAGTCACATTTTACAACAACGCTGTGGAGGGATTTACCTGAAGTTGGTGGGAGAGTAGGCAAAATGGCAACCAGTTACCTTTCTCCTAGTGTCTGGTTCCTCTAGTGCCCGTTCAGATAATTACATTGTGGATATTTGTATTTCTAGTTTTTTCATTTAATATTTTTAATATTTTCAAACAGTGGACAAGTGAAACCATGGATATTGATCCTATGGATATGGGAGCCATACTATACTGAAAAGTTACTTTTTTGCATTATAGTTCCTAGAATCCCAGTGGCCGTGCCAGCTGGGAGATTTTGAGAGTTATATTCCAAAGAAGTAACTTTTCCAAGCTCTGAAAGAAGCAACTTTTCCATGGAGCATTTGGAATGGTACATGGCTGGCAGCATAGATGGCACTATTTTGCTTGTTTAGCTCTCCCGATGCCTAGAGTAATAAAGAGGCAATAGTATGTTCCCAATTTCAGGTTTTTTTGTTTTTGTTTTTTATGTACAGAGTTTAGCAGTCCTGTGGCCACAGTGAAGGCCCTCCGTCGGGAGAAGGCATTTGTGGAACAGGTGTCTACGGGCCAAGAGTGTGGAGTCATTCTCGATCATACCTGCTTCTATGCTGAGCAGGGAGGACAGATCTATGATGAGGGCTACCTTGTGAAGGAAGATGAAGGCAGTGAGGATGTAGGTTCAACTGAAAGTGTTTTGTTTCATTTCTATGTGGTGTTTTAACTTTTTATATTGTTTGTTTAAAATATTTAATATTTATTTAAATAAAATATTTATTTATTTAACTTACCAGATTTTTCGCTCTATAAGACACAATTTTATTCCCCAAAAGTGGGGGGGAGTCTGTGCGTCTTATGGAGCTAAGCTGGCGATTTTGCCCCCACTGGCCCCGTGGGGGGAGCCTCGCAAGGGTCCGAGTGAGCCTTTCAAGACTCAGAAAAGGTCCTGGAAGCTGGCGATTTCGCCCCCGCTGGCCCCGTGGGGGGTGGGGGAGCTTCCCAAGGGTCCTGGAACAGACCCTAGGACCCTTTGGAGGCTCACCCTGCCCCCCCCCGCCCTAGGGTGTGTTCCATAAGACAGACCTCTCCATAAGGCTCACCAAATTTTTAGGAGAAGAAAACAGATTATTATTTTCCTGTTTTCTTCTCCTAAAAATTTGGTGCGTCTTATGGAGAGGTGTGTCTTATGGAGCGAAAAATACGGTATATTCCGCCCACTTTACCCAAAGGTCTCTGGGCGGCTTACAACAATTAAAATTCAATTAAAATACAATAAAAGATAAAATGATTAATATACAATTAAAATTGCCATCAGGACCCACAGTTGATGTTATTTCAATTAAAAGCCTTCTGGATTTAATTAACGTATTAAAATGTTTATTTCAAATATATTGTTATAATTCACACAAAACTTTACAACTTTAAAATCTGGATTCCACTGCTAATTTTATTTTCATGAGTTACTTCATAGTAGGAAAGCAACATAATGTTTAATTTTAAATGCTTCATTCTCTGCTGTTGGTCGGATGCCTGATTGAAAGACCCAGGCAAATTCTCTCTGTTCCTGCCTTTACTGATAGTCAGATATTTTGTGTTCTTATTTTCTGAAGAAGACAGAATTTACCGTGAAAAATGTCCAGGTGCGTGGAGGTTATGTGCTCCATGTGGGCACGGTGTATGGGAACCTGAAAGTGGGAGACACTGTACAACTGTACATTGATGAGGTGAGTGAATCAAGATGAAGGGGAAGATAGCTACATCCAAGAATTTGGTGTAGCATCTTATCAATTATCTTTTTATTATGCCCTTCTTCAGTAGAGGAAGAGCCATGTGCTGGCCTCTTCTCTCCCATTTTATGCTTGCAAAAACCCTGATACATAAGAGACTGAGGGAGTAACTAGCTCAGCGTCAACTGGTGAACTAAATTTGACTGAGTGAGGATCTAAACCTACATCTTCAATAGTCCAAACCACTGTGCTGTAGGAGACTCCTTGGTGTGGACAGGATGGTTGATTTCTATGTTCTCAGGGGTTGCTTTAGACATTTGGGAGCTGAAAATGAATTTTCACACAACCTCACTCACAGATGGCTAGTTTCTAATCTGCTTTCGATTTGCTTCTTCAGCTGTTACTACCAGCTGAACTGAGGTGGGTGGTGACTGTGGAAAAGGCCGTCTCAGTGTTGGCATCCTGTTTTTGAAAAGCTGTCTCCAAGTCTGCTTTCATAACACCTAGTTTTCTGAGTTTCAGACAGTGCACTAAGATATTCTTTGTTTCATCAAACTTGAACTGATTTAGCAAAAACATTTTTACTGCTGTGTGATTATCTTTTTTTAAAAAAAAATAGCTGATAGCTGTTCTGTTTGAAATTCGGTCCTAAAATAATTTAATAAGCCATTTTGTATTAGTTTTGTTTCTGAATCAAATTTTGGTAAAATTTCAGCTTGAAATTGCTTGAATGTAAAGGTAGAAAAATAATATATGTTAAATAAATTAGATGGTGTTCTCAGAAACAGGGGCGTCCCAACTGCAGAATATGTGAGTTCAGGCATAATGGAGAAGCAGCCCAGAGAGATATGGGGTAGCTTTGAACCATTGATTGCCTTTGGATTGGTTAATATGTGCATGCTATCATGATATGTGCATGCAGGGAAATCTCTTGGAAAGGATATAAGCCACCCCTTACACTCCTCCCAGTTCTCAAAATGCCTTTATGTCTTTATGATTTAGGCAGTACCTGTGGGGGAGAATGTTAAATCTTGATTATACATTACATACATAAACCTTTATTGGCATTTGTAAGATTGTTTTATGGGCCACAAGTTGTCTACAGTCTACCAGCTGCCAATGTGGCTTTAGGCCGCCACATTATTTATTCATTAGTATACTGCCATCAGCATACTATCCTCTGTGTGGCATACAGTAAACATCCTTGTTCTTTTCTGCCATTCACATCCATCTCTGCCTTGCAGGCAAGGCGAAGGCCCATCATGAGCAATCACACAGCCACCCATATCCTCAACTTCGCCTTACGTGCTGTGCTGGGGGAAGCTGACCAGCGAGGATCCTTGGTTGCACCAGACCGACTGCGATTTGATTTCACTGCCAAAGGAGCTATGTCCACTGAGGAAATCAGGAAGGCAGAAGAAACTGTTAATCAGATGATTCAGGAAGCCAAGGTACTCCTGCATGACGATGAATTGCACTTACTGATTTCCACATACATTGTCTCATTAATCCGTACAACAGTCCGGTAGTAGTATCCCCCAAAGGTGTCAGAAATTCTCCACTTTTCTCTTTGCCTATGGCTATATTCAACCAGCTGGAGGCTGAATAATCTAACACAATTTTCCGCAATGCAATGCCCTTCAGATGTTTTGGACTACAGTTCGTATCAGCCCCAACCAGTAGGGTCAGTGGTCAGTGGAGACTGGAATTGCCCAAATGTCTGGAAGAAGCCAGGTTGGACAAATGTGATTCTAATACATATTCTACCTTGTTATATGGAGCTGGCCTTAAGGGGTTCTTCAGTTGCTTTCCATGCATAGAGGAGTGTTGGCTACTCTAGCATAGCTAAGTCAGAAGAAGGGCCTGGTCACACAGCCAAAAAACCTGGGATTATACCCGTGTTAAGAACTGTGCTGAATTTCATGTTCACAGTATGAATTCCAAATTATTTTTCCCTGACTCATTTCATTTTCTAAGAAAGCAAGTTAAAATGGCCACCAAAGGGCTATTTATTTTACTATGCTGTTTCTCTAATTGATTTAGATAGATGAGATCTAAACAGCTGGTTTTAAATTGCTTACTGGGTTTAAGAGCACCAGGAACTCTGGTTTTTTGTGTAGGATCCAGAATCCGTCCATTAACAGGAGAGGCAGAAACGCAGGAAACAACTGAAAAACCACATGACCTGAGTTGGCTTAAAATTAAAATGCTACACATTTTTTTAAATACAAACAGGCTATCTGGGCCATAACATTAGTAGACATGGAAGCTGACATCAGCATGCCTGCCATGTATTATTCTGTTTCTCTGTTCTTTCTCACCAGAACCAGATTGTCTTGAATACTAATATGGTCCATTCCCCAGGTTGTCTATGCCAAGGATTGTCCTCTGGCTGCTGCTAAAGCTATCCAGGGCCTCCGAGCAGTGTTTGATGAAACCTATCCTGACCCTGTCCGTGTCATCTCGATTGGCATACCTGTCGAGGACATGCTTGATGATCCATCCAGCCCTGCAGGTGCCATCACATCTGTTGAGTTTTGTGGAGGAACGTGAGTACCACCAGATAGCCTAGGGTGAAAAACGGGATATTGATACATACAAAGAGGTTTCATAATGTGTGCAACTCTCTCACTAGAACAGAGAATGCAGGAGCTTTGGCCCTCCTGTTTTTTCAACTGTAATGCTCATAATGCATTGCCTATCTTGGCTGAGCTTTCTTGGAGTTGACGTCTGAAATATGCAGAGAACCTCATGGACCTCATCCATGTTGTATAATGGGTAGGCAGGTTACATTGGTCTGAGGGCTGTACTGACTTACCACTGAACATTTGAGAGCCGTACCTGCTGAGACACTCTGCTTGTCCTCAAAATATTTTTCTTTGAATCCTCCCTTTTTTTTTAACCCAAAAGGCCCATTCATGCTGTGAATTAGAACTGTCTTGGCCTGGCTGGTGTTGGGCAAAACATGGCAAAATTATATTCCAAGGCCTTTAGAAGGCAGGAAGGGAGTTTTAAGCAATTAAATCTTTTTTTAAAAAGTAGAGGTGTAAGGAGGATACATAAAAGTTGCTAGCTGCAATTTCTTAGTTTGCCTCAGTTTATCCATACGTTTCTCTTAAGTGTCTCTTGTATATGCTTGTTGCATGTTGAGTGATATACAAAGAAAACGGAGCTGGCTGGAAATCTGAGATCACAATTTTGGTTTCCCCACCTTTTCCTAGAGAAAGTGTCAACATCCGGCCTCTGAAATCACACTCTTTCAGCCAGGAACATCTTCCTTAGTAATTTGTGTGAAATTTCTCAACCCTTACTGTTTTCACAGGCATCTGCAGAACTCCAGTCATGCTGGCCACTTTGTAATTGTATCAGAGGAAGCAATTGCGAAGGGCATCCGGAGAATAGTGGCAGTCACTGGAGTGGAAGCTCAGAAGGTGAATGGGGGTGGAATGGGCAAGTGTACTGGAGAAGGTCAGTTAATGACATCTAGGCAACTTCTACTTGTGTGTGTGTGTGTGTGCATGTGTGCATGTGCGCGTGCTACTGACGTTTGACTGCGAGGACTACTTGATTAATACTTCTGGCCAACCTGGGGTCAGTCAGTAGGCGTGAGGCTTTTGGATTTCTTGGACTTCAGCCCATAGAATTCACTAGGAATTTCCCCAGTCAGAACTCTAGGGGCTTTTTGCCAAGAAATCAAAGTCCCCACAGGAATTTTGAATTATGCACAGGCTTATGAGCAGTGAAGACTCATCAGCCATTTTGTTCCTGTGAAGAAAGCAGAGGAAATGAGTGGGAGTGGCTAAGGACCATGGGAACAGCTAGGGTGTCCCTCCATGTCTCTCTAAAAAAACTTGCAGTCCTGTAATCCTTTACCAATTCTATGCTGCTTAGCATTCCCATCCCATTCTTCTGTCTTCTTCACAGACACATAATGACTCACAGAACTTTCATTTCCCACCTGTATATCATTGAAAACTCCTATGAGGACTTCTTAGTTAAAATCCCAAAAATTATGGCTGTGGAAATTCCTGGCAAAATATGGGGGCTGAAGTCCAAGAAATCCAGAATTCATGCATAATCATTTCCGGCTAACCTGGATCAATTAGAAACAAATCCTACCCCTCACCCCTATGCACTATACATTCGCACACATCTTTAAAATTATACTCCATGGATCTGTAAAAGTGAGTTGGAACATGTGAAACCTCTTACTGTAGCAGATCTGTCGCTTGTGAAGGTGCCACATGACTCTTCCTTGTTTGGCTGCCATTGGAAACCTTTCCGATTTGCCTCTTCCATTTTTCTTTCCAAGGCACTGAGGAAAGCAGACATAATTCAGAAGCTGCTTACAGACCTAGAAGCCAAAGTGCAAATTCAGACTGCACCCAACAAAGATGTTCAACGTGAAATTGCTGACCTTGGTGAGGTATGAGAAATTGGAAAACTTTATGTTTTCTTCAGAATTTTCTTGTTAGATTGTTCTCCTGAGAGCCACACAAGGCAGAACGTTTTCTAAAGGTTGATCTAGAATCTGTTGATCTTAAGTTAGGCAAGTCTATAAATGATCTTGGAGAGAATATAAGTTCTGTGCCACTGATAGGTTTTACAAAATTATTTTGCATCATTTTATTTACTTATTTATTTTGACATCACAAATTACTGCCAGTAAGAGGCTCAATATTGTTTTTGGTATATATCTGGTGTTAAACTCAGTGATGAGCCAGGCTTACTTACAGAGAACTCTAAAGCAAACTATGTCAAGTACAGAGGTGCCTTGCTTGACGATGTTAATTCGTTCCAGCGAAATCGCTGTAGAGTGAAAACATCATCAAACGAAATAAATAAGCCCATTGAAACGCATTAAAATCCGGTTAATGCGTTCCAGTGGGCTGAAAACTCACAGTCCAGCGAAGATCCTCCATAGGGGCGGCCATTTTCCATGCCTGTGCAGCGAGGAATCCGTCCCTAAGCACAGCGGGGGGGGGGCATTTTATTCAGCCGGGGGCCATTTTGAAACCCGACGATCAGCTGTTTTTGATGGTCATAAAGCGAAAATCGGTTCCCGAAGCAGGGAACTGATCATCGCTAAGTGAAATTCCCCCATTTAGACCATCGTTTTGTGATCGCAATTGTGATCGCAAAAAACTCATCGTAAAACGATTTCCTCGTTAAGTGAAGCAATCGTTAAATGGGGCACGACTGTACCTTATTTTTAGTCTCAGCTGAAAGTAAACCAATTGAAACAATTGCTGAACAGTAACTGAACCATTTCAGTCAGTGGTCCTACTCTAGCTAGAACTAGCAGTAGAATACTGCTCTATATGTTTGGTTTTAGTGAAAACTGGACTTGTTAGTTGGCTGTATACTGCTGTTTTATGCTGTGGTCACAAAAGTGAAAAACAAGCAAGCCATCCTTGTTATGGGAATAGAGCAGACAGTATATACTCTTAAAACATGGGGCTGTGGTGCATTTGAGTTTCAAGTTCTTCTTTCATTCCCAGACTCTGGCCACTGCCATAATTCCCCAGTGGCAGAAAGATGAATTCCGTGAGGCCCTCAAAGCACTGAAGAAGATTATGGATGATCTAGATCGTGCCTATAAAGCAGATATCCAGAAACGAGTAAGAATATCCTTTTGTTGTCTCATCCTACAGTCTCCTCTGTTGTATATAAAGGGTTTCTTTGCATAGATATTGTTGTGTTTCCCTTTGAAACACATGCAGCTGATGAACAGAACAAGACTGTACCTTTGTTTTAAAGAGAGAAGTGGCTGTTTCTTTTATGGTATCGTCATTACCATCAGCCAGCGGCTGAGTATATCTGTAGCATCTGAGCTTCCCTCTTGGTGCTTGGACTTTGTCGTCATCACCACCAGAAGTCAGATTATACATATGTATATACATTTTTATTTGTACAGTGGTGCCCCGCATGATGACAATAATTTGTTCCCCTGAAATCACTGTGCAGCGAAAATCGTTGTCATGGGAAAACAGTTTCCCCATTGGAATGCATTGAAAACTAGTTAATGCGTTCCAATTGGGAAAATACCTCGTCGTCCAGCGAAGATCCTCCATAGGGCAGCCATTTTGCAAATGACGATCAGCTGTTTTTAATCGCTGTCTTCTGAAGCATGGGTCCAGAAAACAGTGGGAAGCCATTTTGCGAAGCCAAAGATCAGCTGTAAAGATCGTCGTCTTGCGAATAAATGGTCTGCGAAGCATGGACCAAATCGTCGTGAAACAGAATTCTCCCATTGAAATGCCTGTTTTGCAAATCCCTATAGCAATCGCAAAAAGTCATCATCCTGCGGTTTCGTCATTTAGAGGGGTTGTCGTCATGCTGGGCACCACTGTACTGTATTTCTATTTGTACTGTATTTTTATTTGTACTATTTATAGGGTGTCTTGTAGAATATTATTTCTAAGTAGTTTATGTTAAATTGGGCTTTTATTGTTACAAATCAATCTGTGAGCCAGTCTTGACTGTATCCTGTCCCAGAGCATTATTCTACCACTGTTCAGTGAAGAGTGGTTTCAGCTTGATATTGTTATCATTATCTTTCCAAGTTCTGCTTAATACCTTATATAGTATTTCTCTTTTGTACTCTGGTATCATTACTCTGCAAGAGTTCCAAGTGTAGCATAATTAGTGTTGCTCTGTAATCAGGTTCCTTTTTCTGCTACAGTGGTGCCTCGCATAACGAGCGCCCCATTTAACGACGAATCCACATAGCGATGCGGATTTTGCGATCGAAAAAGCGATCACATTGCGATGTTTAAATAGGCCAAACATCGCATTGCGATGATCGGTAAGCGTTTCGCTTACCGATCTTCGCATTGCGATGTTTTAGAACAGCTGATCCAGAATGGCTGCCGGATCAACAAAATGGCTGCCCGCAGTGTTTTCGCACCGATTCCTCGCTTACCGAGGCGGCGAAAATGGCGGCCGTATGGAGGATTCCCGCTTAGCGGTGAGTTTATCCCCCATAGGAACGCATTAAATTGAGTTTAATGCGTTCCTATGGGGTTTTTATTTCCCGATAGCGACGATTTATCCGGAACAGATTATCGTCGCTATGCGGGGCACCACTGTATTTCCCAAGGCTAATGGGCAACCTGGCCTTTTGTTTGACTGTTGCTATAGGTTTTGGACAAGACAAAACGGCTTATTGAGGCTCACCCCAACCAGCCACTGGTCATTCTGGAAATGGAGAGTGGTGCTACAGCAAAGGTAAGCCCTTCTCCTTTTCTCTGTGATCACCTCATATTTTTGCAAAATGGACAAGGCACAAATATTATACAGCAAATATACAGCTTAAGAATAGATCAACTTCCTCTAAATTTGTATGTTCAAGATAGTTACAATGTTGTTGCAGTCTAAAAAATGTGGCTACCACTTACAGAATGTTTTGTTGTGAAAAGGCACAAACCTCGCTTTCCTGGGAATACCTCTCTGGTCTTTATGGGGAGAAAGCTGTGCTAGGTCCATAGCAGCTGAGTGGACAACCACTGACTTCAAGTGCAGCTTGAAGCATCCTTCATTGCTAATTAAATTGGCGAGGGTGTTGAGCAGTGTTCAGAGAGTCACGCATATCCCCCATTCCTCTTGCAGAGCGCAAGAACAAGTACTTCTATGTTGAAGCAGGCCTTTTTTCCCATGTGGACCAGTATTATTTTATACAAGTTGCCAGTGTTCTGATTGGTAGCAGCTGTCTAGGGCCTCAGGCAAAGGATATGCCGTGATCCTTTTGACTGAAATTGAACCTGAAACCTTCAGTTCTCCAGTTCTCTCCTGAAAGATCAGGAGTGCTTAAAATAGCAGACCTAGAGGATCAGATTTGGAATAGACAAGAAATCCACTTTAGTGCACAGGCAAGTTATGGGTGTCCTTTGGATTAAGAACATAAGAACGTAAGAAGAATCCTGCTGGATCAGGCCAAGGGCACACGAGACAACCAGATACCCGTCTCCTGATAGCCCTCCCCTGCATCTGGTATTTTGAGGTACCTTCCCTTTCAGCCTGGAGATTATACCTCCCCATCATGCCTTGTAACCTGCGATGGACTTTTCCTCCAGAAATCTGTCCAATCCCCTTTTCAAGGCATCTAGGCCAGATGCCATTGCCACATCCTGTAGCAAGGAGTTCCACATACTAACAACACGCTGGGTCAAGAAATATTTTCTTTAGTCTGTTCTCACTCTCCCAACACACAATTTGATTTGATGTCCCCTGGTTCTAGCATTGTGTGAGAGGGAAAAAGCTTCCCTCTGTCCACTTTATCCATCACCTGCATAATTTTATATGTCTCAATCATCCCCACCTCAGGCACCCTTTCTATAAACTAAAGAGCCCCAAACGCTGTAGCCTTTCGTCATAACAGAGGTGTCCCAGCCCAGTCATCATTTTAGTCGCTCCAATTCAAGTTTTTTGCATTAGCTAAAAGCCGTCACAATTGTTTAAAATACAGATATGGTCAATTAAAATCATGATAAGAACCACAGACAAATAAAATAATAAGAGACCCCTCATATCTGAGAATCTCCCACACAATTGATCGCAATGGCTGTCAAAACATTAGCCCGAATGTTTCTGGCCGCTTTTGCAAATAGCGCTGTTCTATACGTAACATATGGGTCACAGTCCAAGAGTAACCTGACCACCTTTATCTGAGGGGTTTCCTCCTGTAGAGCAGCCAAAATGTTACCCAGGAGCTTTTCTTGAGGGTTCTGATATAGCTGACAATAGAGTAAATAATGGAGAACATCCTCTATCTCACCTGCTCTGCAGATGCACACCCTTAGATGTTTAGGGACATTTTAGTCACTCTCTCCTGCACGTTTCTGAGATTCTGAGAGTAGGCCCATTTCCAAACAGCTGGCAGGAGCCAACTTACCATGTGCTCTTTCTGTTGATTACACATGTTATCCTGTAGGCCCTGAATGAATCCTTGAAGCTCTTGAAGACTCATTCTCCTGAGACTGCAGCCATGCTCTTTGCAATAGATAACGAAGCTGAGAAGATCATCTGCTTATGCCAGGTCCCTCAGGTAAATAGGGGTGAGCTGGGAATTTTAGCACTCTTGAATCCCTGGGACTGGAAGCAAATTATTTAGATACCTGAAAGAACAGACCTCCTGTGTATGGAGCTGTGTATGTACCATGCTTTACTGTTAGCAATCAGGATAAGGGATTATTAGCATTAATTGCATGTATTTATGGAACAGGGTGGCTCATGGTCTCAAGACATGGCTCACATTTTTGGGTCCACTGCTACTGAATTTGTTGCTTTAAAAGCAAGTTTTGGGCTGAAACAGTTACCCCCAAGTGGCTTATGTGCAAGTAGATTCATGCTCCTACAGCCCTTTCCCAGAAACATGAAACAAGGCATACATATATAAAATGTAAATGCTTCTTCTGAAACTTAGTTAGCATAGCAGGGTGTACAGTTTGTTTATTTAAAAATATTTATACTCTGCCTTTCTCCTCAAGAGGGACCCAAGGTGGCTCTAGCGCTACAGCAATTTTTCTCTCCATTTCCCACATTAAAACTGTGAAATATGATGAAAGGAAAATATCTTCCTTCCTGTTGTCTGGCACATGGCTGCAAGTACCGTTGAAGCTAATAGCTTCCCATTGGTGGCTGCCTAGCATCTGGTGTTTAGACTGGTATCACCTTTATACACAAGAAATTGTCTTTGTCATGAATTTGTCTTTTCTATGAATTGGCATCAGTTTGTAAAAGTAACTTTTTGACTGCAGTTCCTAGAATCCTTCAGGCAGCACAGCAGTACAAAAAGGTACCTTTCCTAAGCTTTGAATTGCTTGTATTGTATGTAAACTGTTGCTTCCAGGATCCCCTAAGGAACCCTCTTCTTAGTAGGCCTGATATAATGCAGCCTGTTTCTTTCATTTCCGTGATGTCCACAGAAGCAGCCAGGTGCAAAACTGACTCACACGCTCCTCCCTCCTCTGCTCTTTTCCAGGAAGCTGTCAATAAAGGGCTAAAGGCAAGCGAATGGGTGCAACAGGTGTCAGGTCTGATGGAAGGCAGGGGGGGTGGGAAAAACCTTTCTGCCCAGGCAACAGGCAGAAACACCAGCTGCCTCGAAGAAGCCCTGCAAGTGGCTATGGACTTTGCCAAGCTGAAACTGGGTGAGCTGAAGAATTGAAGCTGACTTGAGAGACCAGATGAAGAAGGGAAGCCTTTGTCTGCTGCTCAGCCACTGGGTCAGGAGTTTTTTGTCGGCAGCTTTTGCGGAAACAAAGACTGTGCATTGTTTTCCTTCTGAAGTCATCCACAAGGACACTGGCCAAGCCAGGTGACCATATAAGACTGAACATAGCATATGTTAGTCCAAGAGTAGACATTTGCTAATTTGTGATAATAACTGAGCCGCCTCAGGGCACCTGCTGTCAACCAGCTGTCCTCCTTTTTTGCACACATTTCTCATACGCTTCCTGATTCTCTAAATGTAAATACCATTTAACAGTTTAAAGGGAAGGCTGTGCACAGAAACCCTCTGTCTATGCTCAAGTACTGTATGTTTACTGTCATACAAGTGTGTACAGGAGAGAACATCTCATCCCTTGCCACTGTAATTGTGGAAGCTCCTCCCTGCATTCATGGTATTAACTTTTGTTGTGGTAAAGCTTTAGCCTGATTAACTGGTAGTAACATAAATTCCATGCGGAATAAACAGACAAACAACAATGAAGTTTAGCTAATGTGCCACTGGTGAAACAAACAATGGTTACGCATCATGATTGGACACTTAGGTATGTTCCATTTCTAGCACAGCCAGAAGGAAGAATTTGGATATATCGCTATCTCTTGTTTGGAGTTTGCTTTGCTAGCTAGAGGAACAAACTGGTTGGAAGTAGTTAGTTTTAAAGATGACATTTCAGTTTTCTGATGCAGGCTTGTTAAATCTGACCAGAGTTGACCTTAGGTATAATTGCATTTCTGAGGGTAAGGAAGCTGTGGTCCACTAATAAGAGGAAGGTTAAAGATTTCTCCTTTAAGCACTGTGAAAGGGGGAGAAGGAATGCACACGCAGCTTGTTCCAGTTCTTGTTATATTTAGATCAGTGTAGATCTTGGGGGGGGCATTCTTCTCCTCCTCTGCCCACCCCATCCATTTCTTGATGCCACCCTAACCTGCTGTTCCAATTTTTTTTGTTTAGTCATGTCCGAAACAGGGATACAGTGGGCCTAATCCTTTCATCACTTCTTCTGAGTTTAGTTGCTCCTCTTCCATTCTGTTTTTCAGCTCTGTTGACTCTTAGATCTGTGCTTCTCTATATGGCAGCCTTCTCCATATTCTTACTTTTATTTGTTATTGTTGTTTAGTCGTGTCTGACTCTTCGTGAGCCCATGGACCAGAGCACGCCAGGCCCTCCTGTCTTCCACTGCCTCCCGGAGTTGGGTCAAATTCATTTTGGTTGCTTCGCAGACCCTGTCCAGCCATCTCATCCTCTGTCGTCCCCTTCTCCTCTTGCCGTCACACTTTCCGAACATCAAGGTCTTTTCCAAAGAGTCTTCTCTTCTCATGAGATGGCCAACGTATTGGAGCCTCAGCTTCAGGATCTGTCCTTCCAGTGAGCACTCAGGGTTCATTTACTTTAGAATGGAAAGGTTTGTTCTTTTTGCAGTCCAGGGGATTCTCAAGAGCCTCCTCCAGCACCACAATTCAAAAGCATCAATTCTTCGGCAGTCAGCTTTCTTTATGGTCCAGCTCTCACTTCCAAACATCGCTACAGGAAAAACCATAGCTTTGACTATTCGGACTTTTGTTGGCAAGGTGATTTCTCTGCTTTTTAAGATGCTGTCAAGGTTTGTCATCGCTTTCCTCCCAAGAAGTAGACGTCTTTTAATTTCGTGGCTGCTGTCACCATCTGCAGTGATCATGGAGCCCAAGGAAGTGAAATCTGTTACTGCCCTGCATCTCATCCCCTTCTATTGCCAGGAGGTGATGGGACCAGTGGCCATGATCTTAGTTTTTTTTATGTTGAGCTTCAGGCTGTTTTTTGCACTCTCCTCTTTCACCCTCATTACAAGTTTCCTTAATTCCTCCTCATTTTCTGCCATCAATGTGGTATCATCTGCATATCAGAGGTTGTTGATATTTCTTCCGGCAATCTTAATTCCAGTTTGGGATTCCTCCAGTCCGGCCTTTTTGCATAAAAGTTAAATAAGCCGGGGGACAATATACAGCCTTGTCGTACTCCTTTCCCGACTTTGAATCAATCTGTTGTTCCATATCCAGTTCTAACTGTTGTTTCCTGTCCCAAGTATAGGTTTCTCAGGAGATAGATAAAGTGGTCAGTCACTCCCATTTCTTTAAGGACTTGCCATAGTTTGCTGTGGTCCACACAGTCAAAGGCTTTTGCATAGTCAATGAAGCAGAAGGAGATGTTTTTCTGAATCTCTCTGGCTTTCTCCATAATCCAGCGCATGTTAGCAATTTGGTCTCTAGTTCCTCTGCCCCTTCGAAATCCAGCTTGTACTTCTGGGAGTTCTCAGTCCACATATTGTTGAAGCCTACCTTGGAGGATTTTGAGCATAACCTTGCTAGTGTTGGAAATGAGTGCAATTGTGCGGTAGTTGGAGCATTCTTTGGCACTGCCCTTCTTTGGGATTGGGATGTAGACTGATCTTTTCCAGTCCTCTGGCCACTGTTGTGTTTTCCAAATTTGCTGGCATATTGAATGTAGCACTTTAACAGCGTCATCTTTTAAGATTTTAAATAGTTCCACTGGAATGCCATCACCTCCACT